GGGGAGATGCCAGTTGGGCTGAAGACACATTATTAAGACATAGGATTTGGATGATTTGAACTGGAGCTGACCTAAAGAGCCTCTTTCCTGCAGCCTAGCTTCCATGGCTCCAGAAAATACTATGAAAGGTGCCAGAGGAGGGAAGAAACTCACAGTCTGACCCAGCTCCAATACCTACAAAGGACAGCAGTGACTAGAATGGCAAGATGGGGATAGAGGAGCAATAGTGGGGTTCAAAAGTTGGTGATAGCAAATAGTTGCCTAATTGAACTTAACTGAATGGAAATCTTGCCTGGTATTGAAAACCTAGTCATCTTCCTAGGGATAGTTAAGTCATGAACATTAGAAAAGACTCTATTACTATCACTTTGCTAGTCCAGAATAATTCCTTACTGCATTTGAAATTTTATCCTTTTATCCTCAGATAAGTGTAACTACCACCCCTCATCAAACAAACCACTCTTTACAACAAATGGAGATCATCGCAGAAAACCACATCTGGACAGAGTGCATATATCAACATATATATATAAGCCAGCCCCAACTGCTTTTGGATATCTGAGACTTCTCTCTCTTTTATTCTTGATCAAGCTACCTAAAACTTAATGGATTTTTAAAATCTTTTTGAATGCTGATTTTTTTCTACTATTTTACTTTTTGTTTCACCTTTATACCATCACTAGTATTTCAGTCACCAAATATGTTAAGGTAATGCACATTAGGGTAATGTGAGATTCTATTTGGGGGGCAAGCCAGCAAGGAAAGAGAGTGAGAAAGCAAAGATACAGAAAGTAAGAGAAGGGAGGATAGAAGAAAGGAAGCACAAGACCCAGGGGGGAGAGAGGGGGAGAGAGAGAGAGAGAGAGAGAGAGAGAGAGAGAGAGAGAGAGAGAGAGAGAGAGCGTTTGTTTAAGGCTTGTCCTTGAATAGCCCTGGCTTTGTGTTTTACTATCGATTTTTTTTTTTCAGGAAGCACTCCTAACCATTCTGATGTCATCCACTATTAGGCTCTCATTAGAAGCTAAGCAAATGGATAAATGGATCCACTTCATCTTAGAAATTCAGCCTGAAAAAAATGACTTCTCTTCGTCTATAAAGTATATGAACACCTGTTTTGTTAAAAGAAACAGAGAACAACCTGATACTTTTAAACATTGTACCTTAAACTATTTTTTAGTGGTTTTATTGGGCACTAAAATTTATGATAACATAATTTAGATTAATGCTAACTATATATCAACAGCATACACATTTTAGCTTACTATAACTCCATCACAAATTATACCATTATTCCTTTACACTTATTTCACTTGTATATATAGCTCTCGCATTGTGTATTTAACTTCAGAATCTGAGTAAAACAAGATGCTCAATATATATAT